TGCTGATCCCAGTGATATATTTACGTACGCTTTATTCCTGATACTGAGCATTTTACCGATCAATATAGCTCACCTTAAAATTATATTTTTATCATATATACAAGGTGACTGGTAAGGATGAGTAAAATTAAAATAAAAAGAAAAGACAACAAACAAAAGGTGATTAATTAGAAAATTTTTTAAAAAAAGTGTAAAAGTAAAAAGAAAAATGCACAAAAGGCAAAACCGGACATATTTTGCTCGATTAGTTTTGATCGATATTTTACTCGATTAGTTTTGTCAAAAGTTAGAGAATTAATCTTTTTATATTGTACTACAGATATTTATTATCGCCATTTTGAAAACATTTTTTTGAAAACGTCGAGCCAGGAGAGAAAAAGGAAAATAAATTATAATTACCATATAATTATCCACCCCTCCCTCAACAAAGATAAATCAGCAAAAATTGATTGGTTTTCGTTCTTCCCCCTTTTCGTCAAAACTTAAAAGAAGTATGCACAGCTACTAAAATAGGGTAACATTAATGAAGATATTATTTTATTCAGTTCACCGCAAGCAAGGCGATAAGGTCACTAAGACGCAAGCGGATTAATCACGGCGAAAGAAACTGAGAAAGCGCTATTGTAGAGGAAGGACAATAAAAGAACAGCTTTCGAAAAGACAGAGCGTATATTTCCATATATCAATGTTATATATATATATATATATATATATATATATATATATATATATATACTAATTAGTAAGTGGTAGGAATAATTCCAAGGAGGACAATAACCCAAAGAGAGCTTAATGTAAGTAAGAGGCTAATATAATAATAATAATAAGTCAAGAATATTCTTAAAAATCCATTTCGGTTATAACTAATTTCGTGAATATATTAAAATATTCATATCTTCAGATCGAGGGTTTTTTTTATTTAGAAGTGAAATCAATTTATTCAGATAAAAGAAAGAGAGAAAGGAAAAAAGAAAGAAAAACGAAAAGAAAATATTTTATAATAAAACAAGAAAGAAAAACAAAAATTTCAATACAAAATTTTAAAAAAAATACGAAAGAGATGGAGAGGTGGGAAGGGAAAGATAGAGAGGGGGGAGAAAAGAAAGGAAAGAAGAATTAAATATGAGCCGATAGGTTGACCCAGAAATAAATTTTTCCTTAAAGGGTTAAATGAATTAATATACAGGGTGAGAGGTTGGGGGGGGATCAGAAATAGATATAGTAATATGTCTAATAGCCATTTCATTTCATGTCATTTCAAATAATTATCATTATGATTATTAGCATTATCATAATCACAATTTCAAATTAATAATAATAATCATAATAATAATAATATCCAACAGCAATAAAATAAATTGAATAAACAAATAATAATTTAAAACATTATTAAATAAAACAAGAGATAAATAAAGAACAAATTTAAAGAACAACTTAAAAAACACACACACACACACACACACACACACATATATATATATATATATATATATATCATTTATAGTAATTCAACGTGTCTAGAAGAATCCTCAACAGAATGTAGAAAGCACTTTCTGCATTCTGTTGAGGATTCTTCAAGACTCGTTGAATTACTATAAATGATTATTCTAATCCCCAAAACTACACCCCTACCCTCCCTAAACTTAACCTCTTTTTCGAACGTAACTCATAATTGATACAACAATAGTTAATAAAAATGAACACGGTAGCCCTCCTGTCTAAATGATTGGATTTCTCTGTATCCATGGAAACAGGAAATTACGAATTTATAGGTGCGTTTAAAACTTAGTAAATTTAAAAATAAGTTACCCAATATTCGCTTGAAGATAAAACGGAACTAATGCCTTTAATTTAATTATATAATTAAATTTAAAGTTTTTAGCTTCCATTTTTGAAACATGGTTATTACTGTGTAGCGAAAAAGTTAATTTATAATATATATATCTGTGTGTGTGTGTGTGTGTGTGTGTGTGTGTGTGTGTGTGCATATTAAATTCAGACCTAAAAGCGACACATTCTGTTTATTGAGGAAAAAACTATTGTGATGAATGCAACCATAGTTGTCTACCCCTGGATCTTATCGACTATAACAGAAATGGTCGAAACTCACTTCTGAGCAGCAGTGAAATTGCATTGAATAAAACATAACTACAAGCTTAAACATTAGTTCGTTTTTCCTTACATCTACGTATGTCTGATGAGTATTGCCTCCTTCGGGAAAAGTTTTGATATCATCGACTCAAAACAGAGAAAATGCCTTTATGGTGGCATTTCATATTGAGACGTTTAAACAGGAAATTGCTTTACTAAAGAGAGATTTCAAGATAAATGATACTTTTACTGATATTCTATATTTTTGTTTCTTCTTGCGACAACTTTCTGACACTTTCCTTTGTACAAATTAAAAAAAATGTAATCATTTTCTTTGGCACTGATTTGATAAACGGATGTATTTTATCTTTATTTTTCATTATGATTTCTAGTTTATCTTTGAAATGATGTTTTTTTTTTTTTTTTTTTTTTTTTTTTTTTTTTTTGGGCGAAATCATTCAGAGAAATCTGCTCCATCACCTTTGACACAGCTAATTAGTAAAAGATTCCATCAGCAAATGACTAAAAACAAACGAAACCTTATCAACGATGGATTTTAAAAATGAATGAAAATAATATATATATATATATATATATATATATATATATATATGTGTGTGTGTGTGTGTGTGTGTGTGTGTGTGTATGATTAAATAAATTACAGTGATTATGTCTGCTAATTTTTAATAAAATCTGTTCATACCCTCGAATAACCTTCCGTGTATTGATGCTAATGGATGAGAGAAAGGTACTATAGTTGTTTAAATATCTTTTATTTTCATTTCCCAAGTACTTTCCATCTTCTTCCAAGATCATCTTCAGTGGTGCAAGTAAATACAGTAGGTCTGATGAATTGGATCGTAATTACGATTCCAATGTAATAAATTATAACCATGGACTATTATTCTTACTTTGTCCTGGACATTGAGTTCTACCTGGATTCTATCCTTCTTGGATTTATATATATATATATATATATATATATATATATATATATATATATATATATATATATTGACTACTAATATTATCTATCTATCTATCTATATATATATATATATATATATATATATATATATATAACAAAAAGTATTTTTAAAAAGAGATGATGTTGCTATAATAAATTTCTTCTTGGTCTTGTTTTCATTGCATTGTTTCGGCCGCTGTACTCTCTGGGCTTCCTTAGTTTTCTGTTACATCAGACATATGTAATCTGTGCAGATAACATAAAATCTGGTATAGCTGATCATGTATGAGGTGAAACTAGCACAAAATATCTATTATCTTTGTAGGTATTTTTCAGATGAAGAATTCCTTTTACTATTTGGACCAGCCTGCTCATCTTGGTCGTTATATATTTCCTAGGTTTTGGCTGTTGGACACTTCAGCTTTCTTACGTTGTCTGTCTTGGTAATTAGTAAGCTTCTTAGAAGTTCAAACTGTAAGCTCATTCACGCAATAATTGTGGTAGATTTTTCTGTGCCATATACTTAAGAGATATTTCATATCTGTTAATACAGTGTCACTTGTTAGTTTCTCTCGCTAAACCAGAGAATGTGAGTTTTCAGCATTACTAGAATCAGGGATTGAACTCATAACTGCCAGAGAACTAGATATATTTTAATCAACACTTTAATCCACTGAGCCATGTATCTCTTTGACTGGTGATTACGAACTGATATGAGTTATCTCCCCTAAACATTTAATGCAGAATGAAACCTATATACTTCGATGAGTAAAGGGACCGTCGAAAATTCCAAGATGATGGTCAAGTATTATTTCCGACTCCTAAGAATTTGTTTAAGCAGAATGAGAACATTTTTCACATGTGCATTGAGTTCGAAATTCCAAAAATGTTAGGGTAGAAAGACAGACACCTGTAGATGTTCGGAGAGTAGAGCGGATAAAACTTTATAAATATAATGACCAACATATTCAAACAGCAAAGCATATTTTATGTTCTGTATTCCCGTTTTCTGTATTAATGGCTATTAAGAAGATTAAAGTCGCGCTTATCAAGTCTAAATTCGTTTTTGCATGGCTTTTGAAGAGAAAATTTATACTTTTTCTAATTTTCTAATTGCGTTTTACAGGAGGGCAGATAAAAGCTAGTGATTATGCAAAATAACTTCTGAACCACAATCAGGGATACACTCAAATATATTGAAGTCCAGTCAGGGATACACTCAAATATATTTTCTCGCACTTCCCATTTGTGGAACTCTCTTCCAGCCTCTTGCTTTCCAGTTAGCTTTGATCTTCAAAAATTTAAATACAATGTCAGACGTTATATTCTGACTTTTTATTTCTTGTTCTTTTATTGTTCCCTCTCCTTAATAGTGTTTTTCTTTTTCTCATATTCTCTTACACTATGCAAATCCTTGTGTCTTAGTGGCTTTATTGCCTTGTTTGGAGTGAAATTATTAAACAAAATTTACTAAGTAAAATGGACAGATTATGATATGTCTTCAAGGTCTTGAGTTTGTTTCATAATCTCATTAGTACTTTCTTCCATATTATCCGGCAAATATTTGCAATCGGGTGGGGGGTGCTATATGGTGAAAATATTTCTACTAGAGTCAAGCCTGCCACTGTTTATCCGACACTGAATGAATATCGGTCAGCTGCTTAACACCACCTGGTATTCCCAAATGGTCAACCATCTAAGTATTGAACAGGCTCGACGTTGCTTAACTTAGGTGATCTACGAGAATCGGTGTTGCAACGAGATGTGGCCGTCATTGCATTGTATCAACCACACATCCAAGTTTACAGCACTTGGTATTCACAAGTGGTCACTCATCTAAGTATGGAACAGGGTCGACGTTGCTTAACTTCGGTGATCTACGAGAACCGGTGTTGCAACGTGATGTGGCTGTCATCCCATTGTATCAACCACACATCCAAGTTTACAGCACCTGGTATTCTCAAGTGGTCACCCATCTAAGTATGGAACAGGCTCGACGTTGCTTAACTTTGGTGATCTACGAGAATCGGTGTTGCAACGAGATGTGGCCGTCATTGCATTGTATCAACCACACATCCAAGTTTACAGCACTTGGTATTCACAAGTGGTCACCCATCTAAGTATGGAACAGGCTCGACGTTGCTTAACATACGTTGATCGTATAACTCTTTTATCGATGCCTGTAATTGTAACTGCGTTTAGTGGCCCGGTCCTCACGGTCTTAGAACGACGTTTTAATCACAAGGCTAACTCTGCGTCGGTCAATGCTGACGCTGGTTCAAACTGGTTGTTGGTGGCTGGCTGCTTCGATCCGCATCAACTCTGTACACGTTGTGTTCTTGATCACAGTTCAGTGGAAGATCGAATACTGTCATATTCACAGCACTGAATCGAACCGTCGTGGATGCTATATTAAGGGAAGAAATATGATCACAACAAAAAATAAAAGAGGAAGATTCATTGGGTTAATTTTCAATTGGCTTATATAGTTCTTGGTACCACAAAAATTAACCCTTCTCGCAACAATCTCTTTAGTGACACTGTGCCTCGCCTATTATTCGGGGTTTAAAGTTGTTCAGAATCAGGACATTTGGTAGCAGATGACGTGGATTACAGACACACGCAAGGCGGGGTTCACAGCGTCACTCTTCGAGCTCTGAAATCGAATTACTTATATGACTTTCGCACCAAAACCGTCGTTTTCACATTAATCCCAATAAATGTTCTTTGTTCCCTATTTCTGCTTTCAACTTTCCACATTTGGAGAATTATTCACATTTTTGTGAGTAATTACAGAGATTACACCTCCCTTCAACTCCAACCATCTCCATTTTGCATCTTGTACCATCACTCCATACAGGTGGTGCTAAATTCTCCCCCTTCCTCCTTCCTTCTCAGGGCAAGCATAACTAACGTTGTGTAATTTTTAAAGCGTGTGGGCGTAATTTTATTCTAGTTATTAACATTAATTCGCTTGATTCCTCAAGAAAGACATAAAATTGTTTATTCATTCCTGGACTTATATCTGATTAGCGAAAATATAAACCAGATGACCTGCTCGTCAACGACAGGATCTGTTTTCATAACTTCGACTCTCAAAAAGAGTTCGTACCATGTTTACATTTCGTCAAGTTCCCAATTCGTTTTCGTTAGCGAAGATATAATCCAGATCTTTTTCTCTCTCGCTTCTGCTAACACTATTTGTTTGCTTAAATTCTCAAGGAAGAGATAAAATTATTTCTCTATTACTAGACTTATCATATAAGTCAAATAACCTGCTCGTCAACGGCAGGATCTGTTTTCATAATTTCGACCCTCAAAAAGGGTTTATTCTTTAATTTTCCCAATTCGTTTTCGTCAGCAAAGATATAGTTGTCTCTCTCTTCGTTAATGATATGTGTTTTGTTAATTCTTCAAATTAGAGATAGAATTATTTCTCCAAATCTGTTTTTGTTCTCATGCCAGACGTTCGATAGATAAAAAATAAACTTTAAGAGAGAAGAAATCCAGATAATCCCATCTCCATCAAGGAAAATGTCTCCACACTTTCTCTCTCTCTCTCTCTCTCTCTCTCTATCTATCTATCTATCTATCTGTCTGTCTGTCTGTCTGTCTGTCTGTCTTCCACTTTATATTAAACTTTTGGGACTTAACCCTTTCCTGCTCAGAATCAGTATCTAACCTGGCCGTTCGTCTCAAAAAGGACCTCCAATCGGTTGTGAACTGGGGCAGGAATTGGCTGGTTAACTTTAACGCCTCAAAACAAAACTGCTCTCTATTAATCACCACAGGAACCATCCCTGCCCCCACCCCATTAGAATGTCTGATGCTCTACTTCTCGAGAGTTCCTCTTTGCGACTACTCGACTTCACATTGACTGCTGACCTGGGATGGAACAAATAAATTGAGTCAATAGCTCCGTCCACCGCAAGGACAATTTACCTCCCTGTGCCGCGCCAGGAAATTTTTCTCTCCGGAGTCAATCCTTCAAATCTACAAATCAACCATTCGCCCTTGCATGGAGTATTGCTGCCATATATGGTCTGGTGCACCTTCTGTTTGCCTCGGGGTTCTTGACAAGATCCAGAGGCGGATATGTAATATAACTGGCCCTGATCTGGCATCTCGTCTACAGTTGCTCTCTTACAGACGCGCCGTCGCCTCTCTCTGTCTTTTTTTCAAATACTTTCATGGTAACTGCTCCGATGAGCTGCTTTCGCTGGTTCCCAGATTTCATAAATTTAAGCGTTCTATTTAGCTGGCATCTTGCTCACACCCTGTCACTGTCGAAATTGATAAATGTAGCCGTCTCTTCTACTTCAATAGCTTCATGTCTCGCACTTCTTACCTGTGGAATTCCCTCCCCTTTTTCTGTTTCCCTGATAGATATAATCTCCAACTATTCAAATGTAATGTCAATCGACGTCTCTATCCCTTATCCTTCTCTTCATCCTTTCCTCTATCACTCCTCTTTGTTCTCGCTCCAATTCTCTTTAACCCCTTGAGTGCTAGTGGCTTCCCGCCTTGCTTGGGGTGAAACGCTTGGAAAAAAAAACAAAAAAAACTTCATGGCTTCAGACCCTCTATCGTACGGGAATCGGTGTTTCAACGTCTTGTGGCCGTCAGCCACTTGGAATTATGAATTCTAGAACAAAAATATGACACGAGACAAAAGAAACATGAAAGTAACTTTTTCAGTTTATTTAGTTTATTGTTTAGAAATAAACTATCTATTCTTATACTTATTTATTTTGTCATAAATATACTTTTTATATTTATAGAAGTGCAGTGTAAAAATTGAGTCTTTAAAATACGTGTTTTATCGGCAGGTTAAGAGTTAAAGTTTATTTCAAATCCTTTACAATATCTAAAATTATCAGATTAAATTTATCGAATTTAATTAGATAACATTAACTTTACGTAACAGCATTCTTAATAAATGACATTTTCATTAATTTTGCAGTTTAAAAATATTACATTGGCTTCTGTTGTATGTTCATTTAAGATCAACTAAACTAAAAATCTTTTTTTAAATGCCATTTAGAAAGAAAAACACAAATAGCCCATAAAAATTAAATTTTATCATTAGTAAACTTGTTTTTATGAATCTCAGTATCATAGAGAAAAATATTAAATAAACTTTATGCGACAAATAACGGAATTTTAAAATAAACTTCGCAGTGTAAAACAGAATCGAGGAAACATTCATTGAAAGAAATGTCTATGTTAAAATTAAACATAAAAAAAAACATTAGAATTAACTTTCTTGACAGAAACTTTTAGAAGAATAAAGATTACAAAAACTAGATTCAAAAAATTATTTATTTAAAATATTACATTTCGGTAAATGAAATGTGGTGAAAATTCCGCACTATTTTTTTTCATTTGTGAGAAACAGAATAACGGAATATCTCTATCTTTAAAAGGCAGGATGTGTGTGTGTGTGTGTGTGTGTGTATATGTGTGTGTGTGTATATGTGTGTGTGTATGTGTGTGTGTGTATATATGTGTGTGTGTGTATATGTGTGTGTGTGTATATGTGTGTGTGTATATGTATGTGTGTGTGTGTGTGTAACGAATGCACGGCCACCATTTTCGACGGATTTGCACCAAAATTTACATGCACATGCTCCAAGTTAGTGGAAAGGCCAAGACCGACCTTGCATTTCCCAACTCCCATCGATAGTGGAAATAATGGATTTTGTCATGCATCTACGGCAGATTTCATGTAGTTTGCGGCCATTTTCTACTGGCCAGAGTGAGAGCCTATAGCTGGCTGCCACGAATAGGCGGGAAGATTCTATTGGCCAGCATGAGAGCCAACAGCTGACTGACACGAATGTTAACTAGATGCTAGCATGCAAAAAAAAAAAAAAAAAATCTATAGCTGCATTTGTCACAAGTGGAAAAAATTTAAATCTGCATGGCACTTTACTCCAGTTGGCTCATTCGCTTGCTTAAACTCAGCGTTGATTCTGATTCTGTAGAACTGGGTTGGATGTGAACAAGTATTTGTTGTTAACATTCTTTTTTCATTCGGTTTTTCCAGTTACGAGTCCTTTTTTAAAGCTGATCGTTTTGTGTTCATTTTGTTTAGTTCTTTTTACATAACAGATTTGATGTTTAGTATAGAGATTAGAAAAAAATCGCAGTGTGAGATAGGCAAGAAGTAAGGCATGTAGCAATATCAGCACGGCAAAGGGCACTCCTTTAAAGGCAAGGAAGGGCAAAAATATTTTAACTCAAGTGATAGCGATTGCTGTGTGAGTCGTACGATTTTTGAATCAAGTCCTGGCAACGCCGGGTCATGCTGCTAGTAAAAAATAAAGTCGATCGTTAGTGTATTTGGTTTTAGGAATAAAAATTTCACAGATAAGAATATTAAATTAACTTTAAGCGAAAAAAAATGTCAATAAACTTGCTAGTGGAAAGAAAAAGATTCCTAATTTACATTTTTTTAGGGAATTTTGGGCCCTGCCAAAAGCACGTCGTACATCCTCTTCATCTCGATGGTTGAACAATATTCCGACCCCACCCCTCAGATGATCCTACGCCAGGATTGCCGATTTACGGCAAAGGTCTCCCAGGTCTCAGGGTCGATATTTTGATAAAAAAAAATACAATAATATAGCAAATTCAAAATAAATAAATAAATAAATCTAAAACTTACTTCAATTAAATAAGCTAAATCTATTCCAAACGTAAAAAGCAAAAAATTCTTAACTGGACTAAAGCAGTGAAGTATTGTAAACTTAAACTGAAAGTAAAATGTCTTGATCCCTGTGGACGACGAGCTTTGAAATAGTAGCCCAGCTTTGTCCCTCAGTTGTACCATGAGTTGGCCTGAACTAAAGAACGCCATATAAAGAACCCAAATTCTTTCTTTACAAGTTTTCTTAATTAGACCTTGAAATGCACTATAAGCGGAATATTGTTGAATAGAAGAAATGATAATCTACTTCAAAATGTAGTTTCCTACTATTCAAGCTTCGTTCTGCTATGATTGATTGATATATAATATAATATAGACATATAATGATAATATAATTCATATCGGTGAAATAAGTAATTACTTTCCGAACAGCCTACTATTTTTGCTATGCAATTGTACATTCTTTTCCTTTTATAAAAGCTGGTAATTAAATGTCACCCGGCGAGATTGGCGTCACCTTAGAAATGTCAGACATTTTCTTCCTTATATTAGGATCTATTTAAATAGCGTGGTTCGCTTGTAAAACAAAAAAGAATTACATTTTTAGGAATAATTTTTGTAGATTAATATTCCTTAGGCCGTACTCAATTGCGACATTTGTCAAAATCGAAAAATATTGATTTTTATCATTTCAGAAGGCGAGGTCATGTTCATAATATAAATACAATGTCAAATCGATCATTGAATTTTAAAAAAATTATCTGCAATCTATTGTTATTAAAAATGTCAAGTTTGAAAGTGTCTTTGCAATCAGATTTAATAGTTAATCGAACACTTTTTCGTATGAAAATAGGGAAATTTATTCGAAAAGTATTGAAGATCTGCCTTGCAAGCCGTAAGATGTCATTGTAAAAACTAGTGAATATATAATGGATTAAATATAATTTTAATTTATGTTTTCAAGAATAAGTTGATGAACATAAATGGAAAATATTTATAAAACAACTTAATATGTGAGTTTGATAGTTTCAAATGGCGCCACCTTCAGGTGACTTGATATTCATTCCAGCAAATGATAGAACGCCGAAATGAATCAAACACAGTTTCATAGACAGACGACAAACGCAATTCTTGATAGCGACTGTAGTAAAAGTCGAAAGTACTCGGAGTAAAAACTAAAATATAATTTGGAAAGTTTAACAATCGTATAAAACAATTTAGTCCAGAGTTGCAGCTGCAGGAAAAATCATTTCTTCCTAGATATATATATATATATATATATATATATATATATATATATATATATATATATATATATTACTAGTAGTAGTAGTAATCTTATAAGTATAAGAAACTATACTCGTTCGGAAAACTTCGGTGTCTTGCTTTGCGAATAATCAAACCAATACCAAAGGGAAAAAAGGTATAAAACAAAAGAAAGAACCAAGAACATGTACGTTAGCCGAAAATAATCGTCTAGCATGCAAGAACAAAGACCCCCCCGCAAAAAAAAACCGATACGAGTACGCAAAATAACTAAATAAAGTGCTCAATACAATCAGTAGAGCAGACCTAGTTAAACCTAGAGAGCCAGACAACTTACCACAGTTTCACCTTAACGGATCGTCAGGAAGCCAGCCTGAGGTGAAACTGTGATAGGTTGTCTGGCTCTCTAGGTTTAACTATATATATATATATATATATATATATATATATATATATATATATATATATATATCCTCATTCAAATCGTGAACTTCTCTACTTGTTTCCCTAGCCAAAGCGTGCAACAGGCTTCTCTATTAGATTTATTTCTTATCTCCTCTCTTCGCCCTTGCCGAACTTCGCAACACTGCCCTCTTGGTAATTCGGACCACTCTATGGTAGCTAGTGATATCTCCTTTCAAGTATCCAATAAACAGGAACGTCCTATCTAAAAACCTCTTTCCGTTACCAGCACGCT